CTCTGGGACTAAATGGCTGGGGGACCAGGCAGGACAGAAACCCCAACAAGCCTGGCCCTCATGTTACAGCGGCTGACTTTAAAAGTAATATTCAAATACAATTTTGGATTTATTTTTATTGTAATCATCTCATATTATGCAGCCTCTCAGATATCAGAAAGTATCTATAGCCAGCCATACTTTAAATTAACAGTGTGTGTTTTCTTTCATTGTATAATGATATGACTTACAGACGATGACATTTTAGATTTATGAAATGCATTTTCTTTTTTATTTTTTTTATTTTTTTTTAAATTTATTTATTTATTTATTTATTTATTTATTATGTATATACTATTCTGTCTGCTTGTATGCCTGCAGGCCAGAAGAGGGCACCAGATTTCATTACAGATGGTTGTGAGCCACCATGTGGTTGCTGGGAATTGAACTCAGGACCTTTGGAAGAGCAGGCAATGCTCTTAACCTCTGAGCCATCTCTCCAGCCCTGCATTTTCTTTTTTAAAACCACCCATACTTTGGTCATGGTATGTATGTATGCAGCAAAATAAGTTCCTTAGCTGCCCTGTTTTAAGTTTAAACTGGAGGTTGTAATAATTTACATTATCTTCTTGTTACATTGTTGGGAGCTTGGGAAGTTCTTAGTGTCATTAATTCTATTCCCTTCTCCTGTGCATTGGACTTGTTAAAGCAAGCACTGTTATAACTTTCTTTTTCTCCCCAGACTATTAAAGAAGCATTTGGATACATTCCTTAAAGGCCAGAGTGGACTGAGAGTGTTTTTCCCTCTCTGTGGAATGAGATGAAATGGTAACCATTAACTAGTTTTTGTGGAGTAATACTTGGGGTGAATATTTAACAAGATACGTGTATGTTAAAAAAAAAAAAAAAGGAAGAAGGGTAGGGAGTGGGAACTGGGATTGGTATGTAAAATGAGAAAGGATTGTTTAAAAAATTTAAAAAACCACTCTCAGAGTCATCTGTGGCAGGACATACCCATAATGACATGGCTCTAATAAGAAATATAATCCTTAATTTCATGGCCACATTTGAATATCAGGTTATAACAGCCATTTAAAGTTTTTACTTGTTAATTTTTTATTTATATTTATGTGTATATCTTTGTATGTATGCTTTGTATATGTGTGTGTGTGTGTGTTAGAGAGAAAGGGGGGTGGAGAGAGGGAGAGACCACAGAAGCCAGAAGAGGGTGTTCCTGGTAGTCTGAGCCACCTGATGTGGGTACTAGGAATTGAACCTGCATCCTCTCAAGAGCAGCAGTGCTCTTAACCACAGAGCCACCTACCTAGCCCAGTAACAGCCATTTAATACATGCTTTTAGCTACAAGTTGAGATAGTGCGGCCTGCAAAAATTTTACTCTTTATTGGAAAATAAAATCCAAATGCATATGTTTTGTGGGTAGATCACTGGTTTTGACATGGGGGTGGGGACTGAGCATTTTAAAGGTAAGCCTATTTTTTATTTACTAACCTTTTCCACTGATCTTTTCTTCTCTCCTGCCTAGTGATCGATAGGAGTTCTCAACATTTAAGATTTATGCAAATACACATCTTGGAGGCTGTGTTTGTGGCTGTGCATTATCATGACAGCAGTGTTGTGTGTAAAAGTAATTTCTAGGGTTGTGACTCAGGGTAGCCCTGTGGTAATGACCACTTGTTGATTGGCGTGAGGTCTTTCTGCAGAAGACTGCTCACAAGAACTACTCTCCTCACCACTGGGTTTATAATGGTGACTCACACTAACAAAATCTCCTATTTGCTCATGGGCAGAAAAGCTGAGCTGAACTCTGGACTACAAACACTTTCCTGCTAAAAGGTTTGCTACACTTTGTGTTTTTCTGTTGCCTTCCATTCCAAACATCCATAATTACTGAAATCTCTAAGCTACTTATAGACATTAGACCACACACATAGATCCCAGAGATATGAAAAAGGAGGCTAGAGTTCCCCTGCTGGTTCCAAATTAATTCACCCCGTAATTGCCAAGATCACAAGTGTATACCACACCTTTGTTTTAAGCAATGTCAGAGACTGAACCCAGGGACTGAACCTTGTGCATGCTAGGCAAGTACTCTACCAAGTGTGCTAAATCCTCAGGACCCCACAAACTATTCCCTGGGGGGGGGCCTTTGAAACAAAATACAGGAAGCCAAGGTCATGCCTGACTCAGTTTGCACTCTTGTTGTTTGGAAACAGTATCTCTAATTTTATAACTATGACAGAGTCTCCTAAAGACACTCTTGTATTTGAGGATGGTATTTTGTTGTTAATCTTTGCATGTTTGCTTGATTGGCTTTTTGAAACAGGGTCTCAGCTAGCCTAGTGGCCCTTGAATATATATATATGGCTGGTCTTGAATTCCAGATCCTTTTGCTGTCACCTCCTCTAAAAAAAGTAAAATTTGTGCAGCCCACACTGTCTCAACTTGTAGCTAAAAGCATGTATTAAATCGCTGTTACAGGGCTAGGTAGGTGGCTCTGTGGTTAAGAGCACTGCTGCTCTTGAGAGGATGCAGGTTCAATTCCTAGTACCCACATCAGGTGGCTCACAACTACCAGGAACACCCTCTTCTGGCTTCTGTGGTCTCTCTCCCTTTCCCTCCCTCTCCCTCTCCCTCTCCCTCTCCCTCTCCCTCTCCCTCTCCCTCTCCCTCTCCCTCTCCCTCTCCCTCTCCCTCTCCCTCTTCCTCTCTCTCTCTCTCTCTCTCACACACACACACACACATACAGAGAGCATACAGACAAAGACATACACATAAACAGAAATAAAAAATTAAGTAAAAACTTTAAATGGCTGAAGGATTATATTTCTTATTAGAGACATGCTTTAATGGGCTCTTGCCAAACCAGAAGAGAGTGACTTTGCAAGGTACATATGAAAAACAACCCTGTAAACAGAAATGGTAATTCTGTGGCTGGAGCCAAGAGTTTAGGCAACAGTAATGAAACTGTATAGCTAGCTCGCTGGGTGTTTATTGGATGTTTTGGGGTTCTCAATCCATTTGTAACAAAAAATTTAAGGTTTGGAGATGTTCAGTGGGTTAGTCCTTGTCTGGCATCCACTGGTTCAGGCTTCTTTCCCCCAAACTGCAAAAATAATAATAAAAGTTGAAATACAAATACAGAACAGAGCTACTGTCATTGCATATAAGTTATCTTTTCACTCGGGTAACTGACCTATGTGTGTACAGGCATTGGATATGAGCAGATAAACTAACTAGGAACAGGGACCAAAAAGCATTAAAATGAAATAGGAGCGTTATTTTAGGGCTTCACTTTTGCCTTATTTGTATTTCAGGCGATGGCACATGTGCTGGCTGGGAAATAAAAATACATGCAGCCAATTTAGATAACTCCTTTGCTTACGTTTTCTAACTTCACAACCATGTGTGAAGAATGAAGAACCAGTCTCTGTGTGCGAGAGTACATTCCTGGGCAGTATGAGAGACAGGCTATCAGTGCTCTGCACTTTAGAACTATAAACTATCAACTCTGCCCACGTTGGGAGCGTGCACTCTTGTGTCGATAGTAGACTAGTAGACACCGTCCGTCTTGTTCCTGTTTTGAAATGTACCGTCCATTCTCAGTTAACAGATGCGAGAATGGTTGGAACATCATGTGATGGTCACCTTTGGTCACCTGTGGCTTCATCTGCAGAAGACATGAGATAAAAGCCAAACTCCACCCCCATGAGTGAAGCTGCATATGAGCAGACTAAATCCACATGTGTGCTGTTCAGACAGTGCCCTGCTGCCTCAGTTTACCCCCAGGCCCAGCCTTTCTTCTCCACACTTGGTGTCAGAAACTTCCCATTCAGTTTCCCTCATCCCATCCCTTCACAGCGATTCAAACAGCACATTTTCCAACACCCGCCTTCTTCTTTTTCCTTCCTTCCTTCCTTCCTTCCTTCCTTCCTTCCTTCCTTCCTTCCTTCCTTCCTTTCTTTCTTTCTTTCTTTCTTTAAGATTTCTGCCTCCTCCCCGCCACTGCCTCCCATTTCCCTCTCCCTCCCCCGATCAAGTTCCCCTCCCTCATCTAAAAGCAATCAGGGTTCCCTGACCTGTGGGAAGTCCAAGGACCACCCACCTCCATCCAGGTCTAGTAAGGTGAGCATCCAAACTGCCTAGGCTCCCCCGAAGCCAGTACGTGCAGTAGGATCAAAAACCCATTGCCATTGTTCTTGAGTTCTCAGTAGTCCTCATTGTCCGCTATGTTCAGCAAGTCCGGTTTTATCCTATGCTCTTTCTGACCCAGGCCAGCTGGCCTTGGTAAGTTCCTGATAGAGCATCCCCTTTGTCACAGCAACACCCGCCTTCTGAAACTGCCCTTAGGACTCCATCCCAGGGAGTGCCCCATTGTACTGTTTATCCAGCTGTTACACTGACAGGTTTGTGAGTGTGGTGTGTACTTGTGTTTGCTGAGGATTGATGGAAGAATAAAAAGCAGACAGATCTAGTGTTGTACAAGATGCAGTTTACTGAAAGATTTACAGAAGTGTGGGCCTAAGAGGCAGCTGGTTGCTCACTGTTTGGGTCAGAAGAAGCATATATGAGTTAGGGTCAAAGGGTCTCGATCACTGAGATTTAGTTTATCTTAACACCAGAGTCAGATTGCTCCTGGAGCAAGGGTCCCATCATCGAATTCCACAGACCCCTCTGAAGGATCTACTTGTATTTTGCAAGACAATATACAGAAAACTCTGGCTAAGAAGATTATTCTTTAATACACAATAACGTTTTGGAATCAATATGGCTGCAGTCATAACCTGAATCTACATATTCCACCCTTTATTATAGGCTCTTACTATCTCACACACCTCCTCTTCTGCGGTGTTCCCTGAGCTCATGAGGGATTGTATCAGGTAGACAGCAGTCAGGAGGTGATTTGTGAGATTTGGAAACAGAACCTTCAACAGCAGTGAGACAAGTGTTGCTAAGGCATAAAGTAATCACGAAACAAGGGCACAACCAACTGTTCCTCTCTTGGAGCCCCAGGAACTAAACTAATGACTTAGCATCATCAAACCAGAGACAAAATCAGTCAAGGCACTATACTGGGTTGGCAGTGTGATAGAAGATTTGTCACGTCAGAGATGAACCCAGAGAGACTTCTGACCAACACAGAAATGCCATCGCAATAACACCTACAGCATGCAGTGACAGTGCATGAGCTTCATGCAATAACACCTGCAGCACACAAGCATAGCGCATGAGCTTCAGAGTCCAGAGATCTCATAGAAACCCTTCCAGACATGCTCATGTCACCAGGCCAGCCACACTACACTGGAATATGCTAACGTGTCGTCTAGGAAAGGTGGCCAACAGGGTCTCTTGATTCTGACTTCACTTAGCTCCAGAGATTTGCCCTCCTCTGCAGCAATGACACGGAAGCACTTGCCCCTTCCCTCAGGACCTGGACTCCCTCCCCTCTACCTAACCGCTCATTGTCCCATTCCTCAGCAATAGTCACCTGACCCCAAGATGCCTCTCAGTTTGGGGACCCTTCTGAAGCTTTGGAGTAAGCACCCCACACACATCCCTCATGTTCCTGAGGTAAGCTGTTGAACATTTTACACACCATTTTCAGTGTCGCAGAGAGCTCAGAGAAGCATGCTCATGCTATGGGCACTGTGGTCCCTGGAGGGAGGTAAACTTTAGTGATTGGAAACTTCCCTTGCTTCAGCTACTAAATGGGGCAGGGCTGAGTGTTAACATTTCATGCGGGAAATGGATTGCAAAACTGGGAACTCTGGGAGGTGTCTGGATCGCTTTTTTCTTATTGCTTTTATTTTTATGAATTGTCACTAATGTGATTTTCACTTGCTAAATAAACCATGCACAATAAAGTTTTTTTTTTCAAAAAAAAAAAAACAGTGTCATTTTTCCGCCTACTAGAGAACATGGAGTTGAACCTGGAGGGAAGAAATAGAAGTAGACATAATCCTATTTCACTGTATATATGTATGAATTCAAGAAAAAGGGAAATTAATTAATAAAAAAACAGATACATCACAGTGGTGCACATGTGGAATCCAAGCACTTGGTAGGTTGAGACTGTAGAACTGTAGTTCTCATCTATCCAGGATACATACTGAGACAGTTTCAAACAAGAAACCCCCAAAGCAGCTCCCCAACTGCTGCAAAGACCAGATACATATATTGATTTGGTTTTCTGTTGCTGCCACAAAACACTGACCAAAAGCAGCCTAGGGAAGGGAAGGGTTTGTTTCATCTTTCATATCACAGTCCATTAAGGGAGGAGCTTTCTTGATGATTTGGGGTGGGGCTGCTGGTGGGCGGGACGACGCGCTGGAAAAGAGGTGGGGCTGGATGCCAGAGGCGGGGCTCGTGTGAAGGGGTGGGCCTGTGTCAGGGGCGGGGCCAGTAGTAGCATCACGTGAAAGGGTTCTAGAGAGCAGACAGTTGAACGTCCCAGACAACAGTCTGAGTCACGTGATCACCGACTGCAGACGTCGGAGCTGCAGTTCCTTCTCGCCCTCCAGTTTGATGCTGCCACTGACTGCGGAGCTTAGCGAGGCTCACTCAGTTCCTGGCACCCCGAAGGCTTCCTTGGTGTCCAAAGAGCCCTGAACCCATGTGAGTTTCCTCTGCTGCCTAGAGACACAAGAACTAAGGTACTCCAGCGAGACTGCGGCGGGCCAGTCTGATGGAGGAGGAAGAGGATTGAGGTTGTGATTTTTTTTAAACCGTGGGGTTATTTATCATTGTGCTTACACTAAAAACTTTTAAGGAACTTTTTTGTTTGGGGATTTTTTTTTTTTTTTTTTTTTTTTTACTCAGTAGATCATCGGTTCTCAACCTGTGGATCGCAGCCATCAAAAACCACATATTTCTGATGGCCTTAGAAACTGAGACACCACTCGGTAGCAAAATTGCAGTTTTGAAGTAGCAACGAAAATAATTTTATGGTTGGGGGTGTTCACCACAACAGAGAAACAGTATTGAAGGGTCGCAGCATAGGGAAGGTTGAGAACCAGTGCTCTACACAGACAGACACCCGTGGCATAGACAAAAGAAAGTAAATGTAGGAATTATTAAGATACTGATAGCTAGTGGTAAAATGTGTCTTTATGATGCTTAGTATCTGTCCAGAATGTAAAGGCAGGAGAGTGCCTGGGAAGCCTGGCTACCGCACACTGCCCCCCAAAGCTACAGCAGCAGGTGTATGATTGCTTTGTTTTTTATATTTGAAATTGGTGTGCTTTAGTGTCTGCTTTTTACTTTTCATCTACTTTTCAGAGTCCCTGTCTTGCTGTGTCGAGACTGACCTGGATCTCACTATGGCACTCAGGCTAATCTTGAACTCTTGATCCTCCTGCCTCCACCTCTAGAGTCATGGCGTGGCAGATTTGCCCAAAACGGATCTGGAAAATGTACCAACACTTTGTGGAGTTTTGGGGTCGTGTTTGTGAGAGAAGTGGGTTTGTTGTTTCTATTCTTTGCCTGGTTTGGGTATTTGGGTACTGCCGCTTTAAAAGAAGGGGTTAGGTAGGACAGCTGCACAGCCTCGTACCCTCAAGTGACTGCAGGGAATTGAGGGCCGGAGGCTGTGCTGGGGTCAGTCTCTGACACCATCCAAATGAAAACGTGGGGAACTGGTAGTTTCTTCCCTAAATGTTTTGAGGAGTTTGCCATTGACTCTATACAGCACTTAAGGCCAGGCAGGTAGCACACACTTAATCTCCAAACTCAGGAGTTTTAGACCAGCCTGTTCTACATGAAGAGTCCAGGCCCGCCAGTGCTATACAGTGAGACCCTGACTCAGAAAAAAATCTTTCTAAATGTGGGGCCAGTAAGTTATCTTAGCAGGTAAAGGTGCTTGGCACCCATCCTGCCTATCTGAGTTCAATTCCCAGTACCATGTGGTGGAAAGAGAGCCGACTCTCACAAGTTATCTTATGACTCCACGGGCACACACAGTGCACACACTCCCACACATGTACACACATAGTGTGTTTGAATAAAGTCAAGATGATTGACACCCAAAGAATGACACCGAATGACCTTTACCCCTACATATACACACATGCAGACAAACCTTCATATACACACCATGCATACACACACAGACATGCACCTACAGGCACGCACCACACACACACACACACACACACACACTGTACACAGGAAACTATAAATATGTGGTTTTCATATGAAAAAGGCAGGGAACTGGAGGATAGAAGAAAGGAAAGGAAGGAGGAATTAGTCATCAGACTGGAATGTACCCAGAACCGACAGTTCCAGAAGACATGATTCTCTATGTAGAAAACAACAGTGAATCTGTCAAACAAAACAGAACATACTAGAACTAATAAACAATTTTATGTTTATAGGAAATAATATTTCCACCAAAACTGTATTTCCATAAACCAACAAATGTGAAAAGGAAACTAATCTAGTTCTACAGTTTCATTCACAAAAGGGTGAACTATTTGGAAGTGAAGCACTGAGGAGAGGAAGGGAAGCTGTGGTCAGTGGGTGCTGGGTGAGGACAGCCATCCTCCAGAGGCATCTGTGAATTCAGTGTAGCCCTTGCTCAGAATCCCAGCAGATTCTTGGGGGAGGGAAATTTGGCACACTAGCCCTAAAATTTACATTAAAGTGTAAAGGACCTAGAATGCCTGAACACATGGAGCTAAAAAGGTAAAGGACTTTGCATGTAACCAGAGATTACAAGAGAAGTGGAATCTTATTAAGACATTTTTATGGGATCGCCTAGGAACGTTCCCAGGATCCTGCTTGGACATTCGGGTTAATTTTCCAAACCTGTGGGTTTGATGGCAGAGGATGAGGCAGTCTTCTTTAATAGGGAGCAGGGGAGTGAAGGTGCAGAAGGACCTACTGCAGCTGTGAGAAGGATGCTTCTGGAAAGAGCTGGTGCTCTCTAGTTGGTGAGAACAGCTTTTAGAGTTGGCCTTCTTTAAGAAGACAGACCTGGTTTTTGTTGGTTGGTCTGCTTTTGCTTTTGTTTTAGCTATGGGTGGCTACTGTAGTTGCTGATGGAAGCCAAGGTCTTGTCGTGTATCTGAGCTCTAGTGTGTGTAAGTGTAAGAGAATCACTAGTGGGGAATAGTTGTCCACATAACATTTTATATGGCCAAGTACAATGTCCCAGAACTGCGGTCCCTTGAATTGGTAAAGAAACATAATTTTAGTTTTGGTTATATTTCCCACTGGGTGCTCAAGACTATCCAGGTAGCCAAAATTAATTTTAAGTTTTGTACCATTAAGGCCAAATGAAGATCCAGTCCTCAAGGGCTCCTGTGGCTTTTGAGGAACCTCTGGCTCCTTGAACTGTTCTTCATCAGTTGTCCATCTGTGTGAGGATAAGCGGAGGCTTTTCCCACCCTGGCTTTGGCTTCCCTGGAAGCACGGAAGTGATCATTCCCTCTCTGCTGACCCTCTTTGTAAACCGGACTCTGTTAAATTCATTAGGGGTCTCCGTGGCCTCCCTGAACAAGAGAACAGGTGATTTTCACAGTTACAGAACATTTCTGGAGATGGCCACAGACCCCTGGGATCTCAGTAATCTTGTGGGCAAGGGAGAAGTATTTTCCCTTTTAGTCCCTCTGACCATATGAGAATAGCCTTCAAGGATGGTTCCTAACATCCAGAAGACCAGTTACACCCATGCTTTAAGTTACTATTTGATATTTTACTTGTCATTAGATACCTTTAGATAAACTTTGATAAGACTTAGATTTTAGCCAGTTTTTGTGATTGTTGTTTATAGATGTCAAGATATTTTAATACCATATATAGTATCCTTAAGTCTTATCTTTTATGCATCTTAAATTACTTACTCAGACCTTCATAGCTTCCAAAAGCTTTATCTTCATACACAAATCTTTCTATATTTAAACAATTTCCATCTTTTCGTCATTATAACATTTTTATTTCTTAATACCATGATACATGATAGCTTTAGAAATGAATTTACTGTCAATTTAGTAAACAGTACAAGATGTAATACAAAAACATAATCATATGTAAATAGACAGATTGTATCTATTTAATCATATATAAGATATATTTTTAAAAACAAAGATTTTAAACATTGTTTGTTGCAATTGTATTTTTGTGCTTTTTATTGTAAAAGAGAAACTCAATTTAGAGATGTTTAGTAATCATATTGTTAGATTGTGCAGAAACAAAAACAGTTCTGTGTGGAACAAAGTGGTCTGAGGAGGAGAGAATGTTTAATCTCAGGCGCGTGCCCAGAGAGAGCAGGCAGAAGTACCAGGCATGACGATGCAGCAGAGGCTGCTGTTGCAGCTCCTCAGTCACTCACAGCAACTCTACTTCTTGGAGGGGCAGAAGAGTGGTTTCTCAGGAATGGTGACCTCTGCTTTGGTAGCGGGGCTGTTAATACATCAGAGAGAGTGTTTAGTGAGTTGGGTTTCTAAGAACAGGAATGAAGATACAAAAAAGACATGGAGATAAGAATATCAGAAGGTGTAGATGGAGTTACATGGGGGAAACTTAGACCNACATGGGGGAAACTTAGGCCATTTTCCTCCTGTTTTATGAAGTTAAATCAGTTAAGATATTAAAATCAAAAGGTCAACATTCTGGTCAATGATTATTATACAGTGTTTATTGAGGTCAAACCTGTATCGAGAGGCAAAAGAGTCATCCTGAGTCTCAGTTCTCCTAACTGGAATTCTTTCAGTTAGCCCACAAAGGTGAACAGAGTGTACAGATAATTTGGAACCCACAGTGGGTTTGAGACCAAGGTAAAAAATGGGAGTCAAATTCCACAGCCGAGGCATCTTTTGAGTTTAGGGATTAATCAGACATGGAAAGTAGGAGAGGCTACTTGTGAATTGCGCCTTCCAGAAGTCAGGAGATTGTGGAGCCTGTGCAAAGTTCCCAGAACTGTCAACTAAGTGAGTCTCAAGATGAGATGAGCGGACTCCTGCAGTCCTAACAGAGCACCTCTGGTTTAGGTCTCATGAGTTACCTTGTCCAGATTGTTAGCTGTGTTGGATGTGTGATACAGTCAAATGGAAAATGACCTCTGAACTAGAGGTCAGACAATTATGATAGGGAGGAAGAGTGAGAGAAGCAGGGGTAGAGAAAATGAGAGGAAGGTAGAAAGACAGTCCAGCCATCATCCAAGCAAATGAGCTGGGTTTACACAGAGCTCCAGTAAAGCCAAAAGAGACTGTGTATATGGGACTTGGCCTGTTCACAGAGGTAGAGACCACAAAGATCAGAGCTCACAAGTAGGCTAGTAACTGTTTGGCCTTTATTTTAAGATCACCAAATATGTCTGTGCTCCTGAAGAAATAGATCTCAAAAGTAGACAAGGGCAGGAAGGCAAATTAAGAAGAAAGACCATGAGCCACCCATGGGCAGTGGCCCCAGAAGTTCTCCCAAGTTTTGGCACCAAGTGTTAGATTTAGAATGTAGGATATAGAAGCAAAAGTCAGGAAGGAGTCAGGATCTGACCTCAAGAGATGCGGCTTAGAGCACACAGCAAGGGCAGACTCTCTCCTGTAGGAATTGGAGGTCTGTACAAAGGAGGGAGCTGGTCAGGACTCATGAGTGGGGTGGGAGACATAGGAATAAAAGTTGATAGGACCATGTCAGGTGCATGCAGGCTACGACAGTCTTAAGGAAGACTCCTCATGACCTTCTTGACTGAGAACTCTTTTGTTCAGGCAAAATGGGATATCTTGAGAAACGGCTTGTCTCAACAAACAGTCCTGTCGGTTGAATAATGACAGAAAGACAGTCTAGTCTGAGGGGACTTGCGGTTTTCTTCAGCCAGGCATTTTATCACTTACAGACTGTTCCTGGCATGGACAATGCCGGTCCCTTCAGAGGAGGTGGGCTTTCAACTGACATCCAAGTGCAGGACAGCAGCAAGTGAGAGGAGATCCTGACCTGCCTCCAAGAGCCCCAAACACCCAGGATCCAGGTAGGAGCTTGGAGGCTGTGAGACAGAACACAAGTGTTATGGAGAGGGCTCCAATTTCCTCTGCTCTTCCTCCAGCAATAGTTTAAGTCCATCTGCTCCTGAGACAGAAGACCTCAGGTGGGACATCTTAGAAGATCAAGCATCCAGAAACTAATGAGAGCAAACAGGAAAAATAGAATACACTATGTACGCAATAAGTGATCTAACAGGATGGGCTCCCATGACTCCTGTCTGCCATCCCTGCCCTGTGCTTCCCTCAGCATGGCTATACCCAGGACAGGAACATGCTTCTACAGTGAGCCTGTTTGAACATGCACTTAGTTTCAGTAGATATAAGATGCAAGAACATGTATGGGAGTGTAAGCACCCCCAAAGCTGAATAGTTTACTAGCGCAAGGGTGGCAGCCTGCGTCACACACTCCCCTGTTTAGGAAGTCTATGAAGGGAGTGGAGCTGCTGCAGCTCATCAGCCAAAGGCACCTGAAGTCTCTTACTTTGCGGAATTTTTGCTGTGAATCTCTCTAAAGAAATTATTGAGAGCTTTTTGCCAATGTTTATTTTCTTCCCATAATGAGGACATTTCAACATTAGTAAAAGGTACCACAATTTCTGCTGGGTCTATTCCTGCTAGTTGATGAAGTCTCGTTTTTGCTTTCCGAATCAATTCAGAAACCTTTTCTACATAGCTCTTTAATTTTTTACTCGGTTTGTATGGTAAAAATATCCATTCTAAGGCACTATCTTCTCTGTGCATAAGAATTCCTGTGGGAGAGTGAGTAGAAGGCAAAATAACTAAGACAGAATCAAGCTTTGGATTCAGGCAGTCCACGTGTGGATCCCAGAACCTCTTTTCTACCAGAGTCAATTCTCTATAAGCCTCGGCTGATAACTTTTTTGGACTATTTAAGTCCTTGTCACCTTGTAAGACTTGAAATAAATTGCTTAGCTCTTGGGTTGTTTACCTAATTGTGGGCATTAGCCAATTAATAACTCCCATCAATTTTTGAAATCATTAGGAGTTTGTAATTGATCTCTCCTGATTTGTACCTTCTGTGGTCAAATTTTCAGTAAGGCTATCTTATGTCCTTGGTAATTGAAAGAATCTCCTCTTTGTATTTTTTTCAGGAACACATTGTAATCCCTAACAAGGCAAAATTCTCTTTACTTCATCAAATATTTTTTCCTAAGGTATCTGTATCTGAATCAGCCAGTAATTTATCATCCATATAATGATAAATTATAGATTAAGGAAACGATTTATGAATTATTTCTAATGATTTTGTACAAAATATTGACATAAGGTAGGACCGTTTAACATTTTCTGTGGCATGACCCCATGCTGGTACCTTGAACAGGTTGAGAATTATTATAAGTACGCATTGTGAAATCAAATTTCTCTCTATCTTGCTCATGCAAAGGGATCATGAAAAAGCAATCTTTCAAATCAATTACTATATAGGCTATGGCTTATGTAATAAAGAAGTTAGTGGGATTCTGGTTGTAAGGAACCTATTAGCTGAATGAATTTATTGATTGCTCTCACATCTGCTAACATCCTCCATTTCCTAGATTTCTTTTTAATGACAAATATATTAGAATTCCAAGGGCTGGTGAACTCTTTTATATGTTGAGCCTCCAGCCGCTCTTGGAATGTCTGTTCTAGTGCCTGTAACCCTTGTCATATAGTAACCAAATAAGCTGACGTTGGTTTTCTAACAACTTTTGGCTGACCTTGTTATATTTCATTATATGGTGATGTGGTGGCTCTTCTCTTCATCCTCCTGCCTGTGTTTTAGTATCTTTCTCATTGTTATTTATAAGTCTAATTTTTCTTCTAAGGCATGTCTTTTATCAATCCACATTTTACATTTTTCTTTTTCCTGTATTTATAAAGCTTTTTTTTTCCTTTGAGAGGGCACAGAAAGCCACTGTGGCTATTAGAATAATATATGAAATACCAGAATGATAGTAATCATAATCAGTATTGTGCCAATCTCAGTTAAGTCCCATATCTTTTCATGTTCTGTTTCTGATTTTAAAGCATTTAATGTAGAACTATTAGGGTTCAAATGCCCTGTTATGGTATTTCCCTTCCTTATGTGGCTTATTCTATTTATATTGCTTTATTTTCTCTTTAAGAATTTATTATTTTCAAATATTTTTTCTATGACTGTCTATACCCATTTTTTTCTTCAACCCCTAAGCACATTTTCATGCATTCTTACTGCATCTCTTCAGAGGTTTTCTTGCTTTGAACCTGGCCTTCTGCATGCCCGAAGCCATTCTCTGACCATGTGAGCCAAGCCTTAAAGGACTAGGCCACTTACCACAACCTACCCAACAGGAATGGGTGGTTGCATACACCAAGCAGTCACAAGCTTGCCTGGGAGAATGGGGCATGTGCGCCATGGTCCCGGGAAGTGTTTCTTTTGCCATCCACACATCTGCAGGCTCCTTCTGTGGCTCCACTTGGCACATGGCACTGGCAGCTGGCTCCACCTCCCCCTTGTGTCTTTCTAGCAGGATACCCTACTGGTTCTGGTCTGCAGCAATTGCTTGCCCTTCTGTGAGAGTTGAGCCTTATGCCTGTGACACTGGCCTGGGAAGTTGCTGGGCCCATGCTGGGCAGGCATTTCCACCTAGCTTTCACTCAGGTAGTAGGGAGCACACCAGGACCCACTCAAGTGCTTGGTTGCTCTTAAAGGAGCCGTGCTTCTGTTTATCACCAGCACAGAGCCTGTCTGAGGAACTGCTGTTGCTAGGGAGCCACATCCAGCTCCTTGTCTGGAGCTTCTCTCAGCTTTTTCGGGCACTATGCCTGGATAAATGTGCTCCATGATGGGCATCAAGTATGACAACTCTTTCTTTGGACCACCAGCTCCTGAATAGTGACATGGAGACTCTTAACAATTATTAAAGCTTGGCTTTAGCTTAGGCTTGTTGCAAACTAGCTCCTAATTAACTCATTTATATCATCCTATGGTCTGCCACGTGGTTCATTATCTCTCCTCTCCTCAGTACCATAGATCAAACTCCTCTGCCTCTGGCTGAGGAATCTCCTGTGTGTCAGATTCTTTCCCAGAGTTCCTTTCTCTCCTTGGAAGTCCCTCCTATGCTCTGCTACCTGTCTATTGACCATTCAGCTCTTTATTAAACTAATCAAAAGGTACCTTGGGCAGGTAAGGAAGGACAGAGTTACATCTTCATACAGTGTACAAAAAAGATTGTCTGAACAGACCACCATGCTGATTTTGAGGTGGAGTGAACCACCACCAACTTGTTTATGTCTTGATCGACAGTCAACAATTATTGCCATCTCTTGATCCTGTTTCAGGTTACTGAGCAGGCACAGATACTATTCTTTATTTTTCATTTGTTTGCTTTTGTTTTATGAGATAGGGTCTCTGTATAATAGCCCCCATCCCAGAATTCACTTTGTAGGCCAGGCTGGCCTTAAACTCAGAGATTTGCCTGCCTCTGCCTCCCGAGTGCTGGGATTAAAAGTGTGTGCTACCATGACCAGCTATAGATACTCTTCTTATGTTCTATGTTGGGGCTCCTGTTTGGCAGTTCATTGAAAAGCTAGCCATCTGCCTAATACAGGTACCATGAACTACAATGCAAACAGGAGAGGATCATGGACTCTACTGTGTCATGAGTGCCATTTAGACACCATCTGTGCTGTATAAGCATGGAGGGGTCCATGCATAGAATGAAGCATGAACAAGCCTGTGCCATCACACCATAGTGGTGCCCATTGGCTCATCAAGAGCATGAGGGCTCAATGAGTTTTGTGTCTGTGGATTGAACACCACACAAACATACCTGTTCCAGCAGCAGACATATAAATACATGTGTGTGTTCACAGTCACACACATGCACATGCGCACATAAAAAGATCTAAACAAACCAGAAAGCAGCAACGCATGGCAGTCTTCATTGTCATCCACAGATGAGCACTCCTGCCTGCTCCTTGACTTTCTTTTTTTTTTTTCATTTAAAGAACTGCTTGGCCCATGAACTCTAGCCCTTACAGGCTAATTCTCGCACCTGGACTAGCCCATTTCTAATGATGTGTGTAAGCACCCCAAGGTGCACTTACCGGGAAGATTCTAGCCTTCGTCCATCCTGGGAGAGTGTAGCATGGCAA